GTGAGATTGTGGTAAGGGATGGAGAAAGAGGAAGTAAGAAATGTGTATTATGAGGATGTGTAGGACAGTCATCATTAGACCCGGAACAAAGAGACCAAGATTATAGTTGTTAGGGAAGCATCCTCTCGGGAGTTTATTCCACAAAACAACAATCCTGAAGAAGAAACTGTTAGAGTGAAACTTGCACATTATCAAAGAAACATGATGGTTTGAACATGGCAGGTTCAAGCTATGAAGGTCTGAGCTGATGAAACTAAAGAATGTAACACATCAGTACATCAGGTGTCTTGACCTCTAAAGGGCAAGTGTCAGCATGAATGCATAGTTTACAAAGTAGAAGTATACAGAAATTAACCTAGCATCAGTTGTGAAATCAAAAAAGTTTATATTGTTTCTACTCAAGGAACTTTTAAGAAAATGATATAATCACATAAGCAGTTTCAAACAATGAAAGTTATAGATATAGTACCAACCTATGTAACCACATGTGGAAAATTGAAAAAGAAGGAATCAACCTGATTTTAAAATGGGGGGATAATAAAGAAAAGTTATAGATATAAAGCTGGCAATAGGAGGAAGGAGGAAAAACTAGCCATAGCTACTTTTAGTAACCACGATATGTTACTTAACCAAAGATCAGAACACCTTAACGAGTGTAAACATAAGAAAGCATGGTTACTGGAATAAGAGAATAGTAATAATTTTAATTTTTTTTTCACATTGTATGTTTTATGCTAATTTTAGTTACTAGTGTTTGTTTTTACCAATAAATATGTTGCTTTGTCCTATCCTCTTCAGCTATTAGGTTGGTGCAAAAATAATGACGTAATAATGTTGTTTTTTGACGTTAAAAAATATGTCACAAAACGACATTATTACGTCATTATTTTTGCACCAACATAATAGTTTGCCCTTAAGATCTGTCAGGTAAAACCTTGGTAGGTAGTTTCTGGCTCTCTAGGATTTTTTATACTCTACTTAGTGAATTGAGCACTTCACGTCTTTTATAATTTTACTTGATTGGGTTTTTTCTTTTGGCTAGGTATTGCTGTGTTGGGTGATTTTTCTTTATTTTTTTTTTTATTTTTTTTTTTTTCCAATTTTTTTTTCCCTCAGATACCAGTTTGTTTAAATATATATGCTATCCATTTTTTTTTATATACCAGTAAAGTATAGGTATTAAAATAAATATAATATATATATTAGTTACTACTCAAGGCTATAGGACCAAGTCTGCCCTGCTATTTTAGCCATAGCTGGTAAGAGAAGAGATGGATTTATACCTTTTCCAAGGGTATTAGTGAATGTAATGAATATGACTGGAATTAAAACTCTGTCTCCAATTCCTCAATCTGAGCTGTTAACAACTGTGCCTCTAAACTTTGAATTCAAATCAGATTGCAATATCCTAAAAAGTGTAAATTCTCACTGAAACTTCTACAGGGTTAACACACAACATATAATTGTATGTTTTGCTAATATTAAATATTTCCTTTTAAATTTATCATGATTTTACTTCTTCCCATTATTTAATTTCAAAAAAAAAATCTAGAATTTAATAATTGTAAATGAATGTTTTTTTTTCTAATAATCACTTAAATTTTATCTTCAGTTGTCTCTGCTCAATCTGATATCTTCTCTATATAGAAATTATATTATAATCATTTGCAAATGTTAACTATCACTTAGCTTAATTATCATTAAAATATCTTCATTGTTATACCACTATGGCTGATAGCAGAGAGTGCAGACAGGTCAGTGATTCTTCCTTGCTTATTGATAGAATATATGTGATAATTATTTGCAAATGTTAGTTATCACTTCGATTAATTATTCTTATTAATCATTTTTATTAAAGTAATTATTTTTATTAGATGTATAATGGTTATTGACATGGAAGCAGGAATTGGTGAGCTGAATTCAAATTCTGGTGTAGTTGTCTGTTGCATTCATTTTCACACAAATAGCTTTAAGAAAGTCATGAATCCATCTTTTCACCCACCAGCCATGGATTTAAATAGCAGAGTAGACTGATCACTCTAGTCTTGTGGGGAAACTAATCTAAGAAAAGGAAAACTTTGAATTTCAAAATATGGAAAAGTAAATGAGAAATGACTCCATTTTCTTTCCCAAAGATGCATAGCAATACACTGGAGAGTCATGATTGTCTATGTCCTATGGTGGGTCATGGCATTTTAAAAAAGAATGTCATTAATATACTACAGTAGGTGAAGAATGGAGAATCAAGAGAAATGGCTATGTAATTAGTTGTTAATAGATTAGGAATTATCTTCCTTGAACAGGCATTTCTTTTTTTTTTTTAGTTTATACCTAGTTATAATAATAATAGCTGGCCACTTGCATTTGAGGATACCTGTCTACTAGGGTCGGTAGCCTATCCCTATTGCAGACTCTCACTCAGGCACACTGGTGTTTGTTCAACACCCATAAAGCCAACCTATGGTTTGTACTGCAACTATGCTGAGCATACCTTAGTTAC